AAAAGGGGCTTGAAAAGATTTTGATTCTGTACAGGTGTTTTGATAAACAGTCATGGCCAGTGGCAAGGCGAAAAAGGGCCACAGATTTTTCTCTTGGCTATGACGGAATATCTTTAATTCCTACCAGCCAGTCCTTATCTTTATTTGCTTCTTGGAGTTTTGCGTCAAATGTTGTTCGAAGAGAGATTTTTATTAGCCTTTTTGCGGTGTAGAAAGGAACTGGCTTAAGAGATATTTGTAGAATCTTGACGGCTTTTTTGGCCAAGAAATCTGCAGTTTCGTTATCTTGAAGTCCACAGTGCACTGGTACCCATTGCATGGCGACATTTTTGTTGTGTTGGTCAAGCCTGTGAAGGGCTTGACGACAATATAAAATGTCGGCAGATGCGGGGGCTTTGGAGGAAGCAATAGCTTGGAGTGCGGCTTTGGAGTCAGAGAGGAGGACTACGGTATTGAATTTCTCAAGGTGATTCTGAAGTAGTGATAGAGCAACGCTTATTACCGATACTTCTGCATCGAAGGCTGTTTTAGATGAACCAATCGGGGTGTAAAATGAAAAAAGGTTGCAGGAAACTCCAGCTCCTGCATCAATGCCATCAGCCAATCTTGAACCGTCTATGAATATATGTAGCCATTCGTACTCCGGGAACAGTAAGTGTAAAGTCTCCAGGCGATAGATTTTAGGACTTGGTCATTTGTGTCTCTCTTGGAAACATCTTGACATAGGTTTAAACCCAGTGAGTATCTCTCTTTTTCGATAGGGCACTGTGATCTAATAAGGTCTTCTGTCTTCCAAGTGATATTTAGTTGGTCTTTTATTTCGACGACTCTATGGAGGAAGCCATTCTGGGTCTTCAAGGTTCGACCAATATTTGCCAGTGGGGTGCTCCAGAGGGAGAGGCAGTCTGGTAGTCTTAATATTTTTTCCCACAAAATAACTACCCTCTCTTCTACACTTGTCTTGATGTTCATATGGTGGGTAGATAATAAAAGTGCATCGATCGGAGTTGTTTAACGGCCCCTGTTATAAGTCGAAGGGCCTGATTGTGGAATCTTTCCAGCGAGTCAAGAACTGTTTTGCTAGTCGCCGCCAGCAGCTCGCACCAGTAAGTCATGAGGGGGAGTATATAAGATAAATATGTCATGTCGAGGGTATTTCTACAGCAGCCCCATTTTGACCCGGCTATTCTTTTCATTAGAAAAAGTCTCGAGGTGACTCTCTCCAAAACTTTGGTCACATGCTCTGTCCACGTCAGTTTTCGGTCAAATACAACACCTAAGTATGAAGAGGAGTTTGTATATAAAACGGGAAAGTCCTCATACAATAGCTTTAATTTGATAGGCTGATGTGTCTAGGAGAAGGTCTGATAACATGTCTTTTCCAGATTGACTTCCATGTTATTAATCTGGCACCATTTGCTTAATTCCTTTAAAGCCTGATTAAGGGCTAGTTCTGACTGCCGCTCCATTCTATTTTTGGGAGTTTCGGTTCAGATGACTAAGTCATCTGCGTAGAGAAGGCATTTGATACCATTAATTTTCTTAAGGTCGACAATATGGTCATTTATGTCGATGTAGAACCCTAAGCAGCTGGTAGCAGCTCCCTAAGGGAGAACTGTCTTGAGAATCTTGCAACGGGAAAAGCAGTTCTCATAGCGAACCTTACAGATTCTCTGGCAGAGAAAACTTCGAAGCCAGTCGAACATTTTTGAATGAACACCTCTTTTGATGAGTTTCAGTAGAAGGTTTTCTCTACAAACCAAATCGTAAGTGGATCTTAGGTCCATGAAAACAGCAGTGAGTACATGTTTTTTATCAAGAGCATCCTTTATATATTGGCTAAGGAGGGTGACTTGTTAGTTAGGTGATCTGTACCTTTATCTTTGCCCTTTTTATGTATAGGGATAATGATTGATTTGCGCCATATTGAGGGGGCACTACCTATATCCCACACTAAATTAAAATATTTTAGAATGGTCTGCGTTGCCTGGGTCCCCAAGTTAAGTAGAAATCCGGAAAAATAATGTGAAATGTTATCAATAACTTTTTTAAATGCTTCATTCACTTTATTTCTAGTGGTATTGGCACAATTATAATGAACATCTATATTACAAAATATATTATTGATTTGTAAATGATAGTATCTCTTTTATAAGGACTTCCCAAAGGGATTTTTGGTCAAAACATCTTTTTTTCAGTAGCTTTGCTTGTGATTTATATTTCTTTGTAAAAAAAAAAAAGAAACAGAAGAATGTTTTAAAATGCTTCCTTCAGCAGTCGTAATTTTTTCTTTTTTGATTGCTGATTCCAGAGATAACAAAACAATTTTTTGTTGGAAGACTTCTGTACTATCAAATTTGTATTTTCTTCCAACAAGCAGAGATTTTGAAAACCTTTTGCTTCTAATAACCTCTTTACTTTGTTGACTTGTCTAGTTCATTTAAGCAACTTGCATCGCAACAGGACTGTTAAGATTGAAGTCATCTAATTTCATGAATACCTACTTCAACCTACCTACATACCATCAACATACCTACTTTCAATTCAAGATGTTTCTGACTGTTGTTTTAATATTCCTTGCATTCTGGGATTTTTTCTCCTACATCGCATCTGATATTCTAATCAATTATTTGATGAGCAAATGAATTGATATTTGATGACGAAACGTTAGAGCAAAGGTATTTTTAAGGTATCAGGCATCAAAAATGACAACTGAGTGTCCTTAATTTTCTAGGTGTCAAATTAAAATTTTTAGGTACAAATTATGACTGCTTATTTTGAACCCTGCGTAAACAGGGCCCCAAATTGTTCTTTCAAAGAGAACCTATTAAATGAAAAACTCAGTATGTAGACAATGAGATATTTCTGTGCAATCTGCCTGCTATATAGTGGGAGTTAAAGAAATATGTTCTCTAGAAATAGTACTAAAGAATGGGCTGATCTAAGAATGTCACTTGTCAAAAGTGTGACTTATAACACTATATTGTCTCAAGTTTTTCCTCAATACATATTTCAGTTTTCATGATTGTTAAAATAAATGCAATCGATGATTATATTTGAAGAATTTAGTGCAAACTAATGAAGCAATATTTTAAAGACAAAGTTACATTTTTCTGGGTCTTTCTGTCAGCTTCAAGTGTAAAATATTTTCAGTGAAAAAAGAAGTTTCTGATTCTCTAAAATATCACATAACATGTTCTTTCATTATACTCAATAATGTAAAGGAATTGAATTCCATAGCATTTTATTCTTTTGACCAAATTATTTAAGAAACACGTAAGATATCAAAATTTTAAGAAGTAAAGAAATTGATTAATTTTTTTTTCTAAATGGTCTAATCTAGTTATAAGAAATATATTCAAAAAAGGCTGGAAAAGCTGTAATGGTATTTTAAAAAAAACTTCGCTTCCGAAATATAACATACTCTGAAAACATTGTGGACTGCGCTTAATTATTTATTAAACCAGTTTACAAAATTTAAACAAAAAATTAATAACTCTCTAATTTGATTATTGATCACATTCCATCCTAATTCCAAAAAATATCTATTATATTTGAAGCACGGAATAAAAATCTTTTTACCTGCAGCTAGTAAAAGTATTTTATTTAATTGTTTATAACAGTTTCTTTTAAGAAATTTACTATCAAACAATTTATGATTCTTATTTATTTTTTTTTTTATAATAGCCAATAATATCTGTAATGAATTATATAACGGGATATTTGATTTTTTATTTTTTTTTTATGATTAAAAAATTTTGAAATACATTGTAAATCAAAAAAGCTGCAATTCTATATATTCTTATGAACTAAGCTATTCAAAACAAAAAATTTCATATGTTTATGTTATTTCAGCTTTGAGTGCTTTAAAAGTTTGAAAATAACTTAATAATTTTGAAACTTTATTTGAGTAAATATGATGTAACTTAAACTCATTAGGTTTGTAAATTATTTAAGTTGAACTATTTTAACATTATTATTAATTTCTTGAATTTATAGATTAAACTTGTTTATTACATTATTTATATAAACTTCACCATTTCATTAATATTAATTTACTCTTTTGTGTTGATATCTCTTGAAATGTACATTTCCTGATTATATCCATGTATTTTGAAATATTAGTTTTGTAACATGTTACATAAAAGTGATTTACTCATTTACTTACATTGAAACATTTTTATTTTGCTTAATTTCTGAAATTTAATGTTTGATCTTTAACTTTTTCAGAGAAGTTATTTGCACTGAAATCTTAAAGTTAAAACTTAAAAGTGATATCTTGGAGCTCAAAGATCTTCAAAAGAAAAAGGGTAACATTATTTTAATCAATATCTATTTTGTTGTTCTTTACAATATTTACTTATATTACGGGAGTATTTTTTAATTTATTTTGAAAGATGGTTGATAAATGAAGTTAAATAAAATGCCAACATTAAATCAGTCCAAAAAATTACAATATAAAATTTAGATTGTATCTATATTTAGTGATTTTATGTGTAATTAAAGAGTTCTGTCAAATGCTAATTTTTTATTATTTTAATTGATGCAGTGAAATGTTTTCATTGTGTTCTATGATTATTTTTAAGTGGTGCGGCTTAAAAATGTTGAGTACAAACAAATTAAAAATTGAAAGGTTTTAGTTAAAATCTGTTATTAAAAAGCTAAGAATTCATGTTTTAATCAAAAATTATATAATGTATTATATGCATGATGCAGGGATGAAATTTTTCCGCTTTTTAGCGGATTTCCGCTTTTTTCACTTTTATCTCTTGAATTTCAGTTTTTTTTATCAAAAATTCAGATTTTTCTAAAAATTTCACTTTTTTTAATAAGTATTCTGCTTTTTCTGAAAATTCACCGATTTTCAAAGAGAAACAGAAAATTCAAACTACATAGCTACCAATCCTTTCTCATTTTTACTTATTATAGCTATTTTCTCCCCTTTTACTTGCAGCAGATAAGATTTTCTGAATTTTTTACCCGCCCTCCAGTATAGATCCGATTTTTGTAGTTCAAACGACGCTGCTTCTGACAAGCCTTTTAGAGGTCCCAAGCCTGGAATCTGCTAATATCTCGATTCTTATTCACACGATTTTAATGTCAAACATAGCTTTTCAAATTTGCGTGTTGCGATTCTTATTCACGCGATGTGAATATTGTACGTTGCGATTCTTATTTATGAGATTTAAAAATCCGATATTGTGATTCGTATTTACGCCTTTTCAAAAACCTATATAGCGATTCGTATTCACTCAAGTTTAAAATTAATGTCTTGATTTGCTCATGCGGTTTATAATATCAAACATTGATTTTCGTATTTATACATGATTTTAAAATAAGGCATTGGGATTCGCATTCACGCATTCTGAAAATTATGCATCATAACTCTTATTTATGCAATCTAAAAATTACGCATCATGATTCGTATTTACGCAATCTAAAAAGTATGAATCGTGATTTGTATTTACGCGTTTTAAAAATTCTATATCCCAGTTTGTATTTTCTCATTTTCAAAATCGTATATCTAGTTTCATATTCATGTGATTTCAAAATCCATAATTGTTATTCATATTCACGCAATTTTAAGATCAACTATCGCGATTCTTGTAAGAAGTAAATTTTTTTTTAATTAGTTACTATAAAGGTGACTGTTTTTCTAACGACGATTATTAGTATATGTAAGTGTTACAACATCAGAGAAACTGGAAGGGAATATATTCAAAACTTACATTCTGTGCTTGCAAAGAAGAAAAAATAGGATTTGTCACAAGATGTTTGAAGATGGACTAACGACTAAATATAGCAAACATAAAAGATATAGCAAACAAAAGCAATCACTTAAAAAGGGATTTAATTAAAAAAAAATTTGGGGGGAAAAAGAGTTAATTAACTCATCATCAAAATTTTATTTATAATTGCTGTTATTTATGCTATAAAATGCAAAATTCTTATCAAATAAAAAACAATTATCTAAACAGTTGCTGATTGTCATGTAATTTTTCAAACTAAAATAGCAATTTTTGTATGTTAAGGAGTTACTATATATTTCTACTTCACTGTTATTGATATGTTTCAGAGGGCTGTAGTTAGATTAGACTATAATATGAACATAATGATTCGGTCCATTGTTAAAGTTTTTTTTTTCCAATATAATTTAAAAAGTAATATTACTGATATATTTGCTATAAATCACATAACAGTATTTATTAAAAGAAATGAAATATTAATGTATATTCTCAGTAGTTTTAATTTGCTAAACCAGGTAGTTTTTCAAGTAATAATTGTCTCTTATGTGAACTGAGGAAAAATATAATTTCCAGCTTTATTTTTTCAATTAGTAATTTTTATTTTCACTAAATGTTAGGTAGCAATGTAATCATTTATATAAAAATAGATTAGTACGCAATTGTATGTCAACACATTATTTATTACCTTAAACTGTCTGGAATTTATTATTAAAGGGTTGCGCTTGCGTAAAATTTACGATCGTAGAAATTCAGCTATTTTGCCTTTTGGATAATCTCATCCCTGATTGATAAAATATTGCATAAAATGAGTTCAGTTATACACTGAGGTATATTAAAATAATATTTTATTGTTATTATTTTTATATCTAATTTGCTGAGTATTTTAACACTATGATTGCATGTGACAAAACATTTTTTTTTAAATATATATATATATATATATATAGTGAAGTATTGAAGTTTTTATTTTAACTGTTTTAAATGAAGATCAAAAACACAATCAGTTGCTTCTTACATTTTAGTGCTTAACAGTATAGTGCAGCGAAAAATATTTCTCTTTTTGATAATGTGTTTGATTCTGCAATTTTATTCTCTAAATTATTGTTGTAAAATAATACATCATTTAATTTTAAAAAACATTTTTTGGAAAAGCTGTAAAGTCTAGAGGCATGCTATCTACTAAGACAATATTCTTTTATTTTTTAAACTTTTAGAATATTTCTATTTGTTACTTTTGTCTAAATTAGTGTATAATTTCGTTATTTATAAAAAGATAAATAAGATCAAAAAATTAATTCAATTTTAAGATGGAATCTAGTTTAGTGCATAATACTGATGCTTGTTATTTCATAAAGTGCTGTTAGGAAAATAAAATGTGTTTTACCCCCACTAAATTTAACAAAAAAGAAACTTAAAGATAGTAGAAGTTAATTAATAGGCTGGAAGAATATAAAACCATGAATATACTAAGCTCTAGATTTTATATTTATGTATTTTGTAGGCTATTAGTCTTCGCTAAATAAAATTCATAAGAATTCTTGAATTTTTTGTTGCCATTCCTAGGGAGGGATTGCTATGAAGTCTTTTTCTTCTTAATACCACCAAATGCGTTCTTTTTAAATTTGTATGTATTTGTATGCTTTTTGTTAATAAACCTTTACTTTCTGTCTGAATCTCGATCTCCACAGACTGCAGTTGGCAGCACAGCTGCTGTTTTCAAATTTTAATGATTTTTCAAATTTTCATAACCACATTACATACCATAAACATAACCGTAAACACATTTCATATCATAACCATAAACACAACGGCATAATTTTCAAAACCGCAGCTGTGCTGTGGTTTTGAAAATTATGACGCAGTAAAAAGTTTCACTGAGTTTGCCGTGATTTACATCGTTTAGATTACAAGATGAATAGGGATCTGCCTAGTTTTCTACTGCTTATCAGTGAAAACTTCTATCACTGGTGTATAAAAGTCAAAGCTTTGCTAGCTATTAAGAAAACTGCAAATGTGCTTATCGAAGCCCAAGCCGACGCTAAATTACGGGAACAATGGACACTAAACGACGATGATACCGTTACGAAAAACAATGACAATACTCTGAAGATTTAAGTATAATTCAAAACAACTGTGTTCTTTGCTTAATTATTCCACTCATTATAAATTTCATTGTTCAAAATTTAAAGGAATTAATTTTGTACTTTAAAATTTAACAATAATATGGGTAAATGTCTATTATCATCAAACACAATTTTTAATTACAGTTTATTCTTCAAAGCTGAAGAACCTTATTTTTTATTGCCTCTTGCTCTTCTTGAGTTTAAAAGGTGTCTTACACTATATTCAGCAATAGTAGTAAGCTATTTATTTTTCCCCAATGGACCTCTACTTTATAGCAGTTCATTAACCTTAAAGAATGAACATTTTTTATTATTATACAGTTACATTTATTATGAATTTTTATATTTTATTCACTATTATGACTAAAGTATTATTATAATAATGATTTTTATTAATTTTAGAATGAAAGAATCAGTCCAGAATTTTATGATTAAAATGTATTATTCCAACTATTTCCAATTTGTATCCGAATTTTATATACATTTACACAAGTAATGTATTTTTTCTTTTTTATTTATCATTGTCTTCATATTTTATTTGTTTGATCTTGTAAAGGTAATTATATATGTATAAAGATTAAATGTTTTAAGTATCTATTTTTTTAACCTGACACATTCTGTATAGTTATGCATTTTTCTAAAAGCTTTAAAATTATTTTTGTACTTTTTATTAGTGACCTAAAAAGTATCTTAAATGTAGTTTGTTTGTTTTTTAATTTTATTTTGTCTTGTTAAATTTTTTACCAATGTATGTAAATAATCATTTTATTTTTAACATTTACTATCAAATATTTTATCTCATATTTCTGTGTATTCCTAGTTATATAGATTTAAGTTTGAATTTCTTTTTACTATAAAACTATTTCTTTAGAAATTATTTGTAAATAAACATAAAAAAAAGCTTGATGTTAAAAAAGGGTTATTTTATAATAATTACATTTGTATTTTAATTAAACTTAGCTTTTTACTTTGTGAATCCTTATTTAACAAGAATTTCTTCAAAATTATTTTTTTTTAAAAATTTCTAAGGTGAAGTGTATTCGTCATGGGACTTTCATATGTTATATAATTAAGTACTTCAATATTATAGAGGAGACTCTTATTGCAAAAATTGTAAATCACAATTTGAAAACTCAAATATGAAAAAAGTAAAACTGAATGAAATAATTATTTTTAAAAATTTTATAAATGTAATTATTGCTTTTGTTTACTTATCAAAATATTTATTAATAAATAAAGTAATATTATGCTAAACTTGTTAATTAGTTATGTTTATCAAAAAATATTAATAAAAATAAATAATGATTAAAAAATGCTAATTTTTTTAGGAGAATAGGATAAAAATATGATTATGTAACAATGTAGTTGCTGCAAGCAACTTGTGACATTTGCCAAATGCATTATCTCGAAAGCCTCTGTAATCGAGAAGTACTTTTATTATTTTAATTTTTTATCCTTTTTAAAATTTTAAAGTTAATAAATTTAAAAATCTTTTCAGTTTTAAAATTATAGAGCTTGTTAATGTTCTTTTCATCTCATTTATATATCTAAATGAAGAAATCATTTCAAATTTAATACTTATTCTTTAAGGTGATGAATTAAGCAAATAGTATTTCTTTTTCCAAAATTATGTATACAAGTTTTATTTTTCTAAAAATATAACTTTTTTTTCTGAACTAACCATTAATTCAATCCACATCTGTTGTCTAATCCTTGATGCATCTGTATTTTTAAAAGGATATTATTATAGTTGAAGTAATACTTCCTGCCATATTCCTAAATGTACTCACTTTATTTTTGTATGTACCACCATTTATGAAGTATTTTACTATGTACCTATATGATATACATTATTAGCTCTCCGGTTATCCTTCTAATGTAGTTGAAGTATTAATAAAACTTTTATATTTTTACTATTTCAATCTACTTTATTTAAACTTTGTGATAATTCCCACATTTATATATACCGGTATTAGAAAAATTGTTTTTTAAAAAGAAGAAGTTGTACTTGTATATTTAAATTCAAGACTCTTACTATAATTAACAGTTAGGATTTTGTTTTTTTATCTAAGTTTTGCTAAATAATAATTTAATAACATTATGATCATAAAGTTTTTAGGATAAATACTAATAGTTAACTAACATACATACCTCTGAGAGTGAGAATTGTTTTAAATCTATGATGGCAATTATTCATTCAACAATGACAGCTTTTTAGTGTTTTTGTTTTTAAGCATTTTTAGTTGTGTTATTAAAGTTACATTTATCCACAAGTTTATTTCTTTTGGTTTACATGTGAGGATAAAATTTAGGTTTTTACACTTCTAATTATTTACACTCCAGCTCTTTCAAAAAGCTTACATTTCTGCTCAGATAAATTTAGCATAGAATTTAATCAAATAATATAGTAAAATACTTTATCTTTTATCCTTTTTACTTTTATTTTCTAGATTTTTATTTTGTGTACGAGAAAATTATAGATATTTTAATCAAAAAAAAGTTGCAATTAAGTTAGTTTGTTTTTATTGATGTAAAACTTAAAAAATAGAAAAGAATATATAAATGTTAATGCATATTTCTTTTGCAGATTATCTCCTCTTTTTGTTTAACCCATTTTAGGCCGATGATAGAAGTTTTATAAAATGTATTATTTTCATTGAAATATGTTTAAATTACAGGCACATTCATTAAGACAAAAAAAATAATTTTCTTGCATGAAAAATAATATTTTATTTAAGAAATAAAATGGTGTGTATACACACCATTGGCCAGATCAATGAACAATTCCTTTAGTTCTACGCTTATATTTTGAATGCAAATGGACTTTGCATATGATGTATAAATTAATCGTGTGTTGTCCTTTTTTTTTCCATGCCCATTTATTGTATGTCCGATTCTATCAGTCTGCACTTCTATTAGTAGAGCTGCGGATGACGGGCAACCTTTGTTTGAATGGGTAACTTGAAATGAACTTTCACCAGATGGATTGTTCTTGGATTCAGATTTTAATTGGGCATTAGCTATATAAAATCCATAGTCTATAAGTGATATTTTTGAGCTAGTTGAAATTCTATGCACCTTCAAGAAATTTAATATAATGCTATCTATGATGTTTGCAAATAATGGCGACCACCATTTCTTGCCTTGAATCTTGATGTGGTGTTTTGTTATGGTATTGTCATGTAGGTCTAAACCTCTCATATGCTTATTGTAATCCAGAATAACGTTGAGTTGTGAAATCACAACTTTTTTTGTTGAGCCCCGATGGCTCAAGGGATAGAGCATTCGCCTTCCAAAGAGGCGAACCGGGTTCGAATCCCGGTAATGGCTGGTTGATAGGAATTATCATCCTGCTGGCACTGACCACAGTGCTGACGAAATATCCTCAGTGGTAGATGAATCATGGGTTGGAGTCCATTTGCAGTCAGGCTAACCGTGGGAGGTTCTCGTGACTTTCCTCTCCATGTAACGCAAATGTGGGTTAGTTCCATCAAAAATCCTGCACGAAGGCAAATTTCTACCAATATTTGATCCAGGAATTCCCTTGTCTTCTGGGTCGGATTCAAAATTACAAGGCTACAGAGTTGAACATTAGAAGTCGTAAACCCAAAAATTGGCTCGGCTGTTCAACAACGCTTATATATATAATAATAAAAAATAAACTTATTTACTTTCTTTGCAACTGTATCGTTTGGCATTTACAAGGGGCCAAAATTTGCCGCCAAATGGTACCGTTATTAGTAACAATTGTTACCACAGCATTGTCACTCCATTTTATTGCACATGTTTCTATATCCTTGCTGAATGCAATATCGTAGGAACCACAGTGTTTCCTTTTTTTTATATTTGTGTAGTCATCCAATATGCAACCACCTATGGGATTTTCGCGAGCTGTGCCAGATGCAAAGAAATCCTTTTCTTTCAAAATTTAAAATAAACTATAGGAAGAGAAAAAGTTATCAAAACTTAAATTTTTCCATCTCAGGTATCGAAACAATGCTAAGTAACTTCAGAACTTGTTCCTTATGGCATATTTTGTCGAACACTGTTAGCCTCAGAACAATAAAACTCTGATGAAAATAAGAACTTAACAATAAAAGGCTGAAACCTTGCATAAAAAGTAGGTTTTCAAATTTCGCCTATTTCTCATGGATTCGGCCAATGGTGCGTTAACACACCATTAAATTTCAATGAAAAAAATTTCAACTTTTTTATGATATTTGTTTTATTTTAATTTTATTTTCAGAACTTACAACTTTAACCCATTGTTAAAACATATAATAAATCTGAAGTGGAATAATTATACAGTTTAAAAAAAAGAACTTTTTCAACAACCGTTTGAAGTTCAAAAATTAGTGCGTTTTGAAAATTTCTCATCAGAAATTATTAACTCCAATTTAATTACTAACATTGTATAGATGTCTTTAGAACCCTTTAAGACAACAGAAAAATAGAATTATAAAAAAATTTGCGCCATGGTGTTAATAAAAAAATTGTGTATTAAAATGGTGCGTTTATGCACCATTGGCTAAAAATGGGCTAAACAACATTTTTAAATCAGTAATTTAAACTTTTGAATGTGAAATAAACTTCTGAATTTGACAAGTTTATTTGCAATTTAAAAATCTATGTTTGCTCAAAATAATAAAATATTTTTATTTTTAATATTAAAAAAAAATTTATAGTAAAAAATTTAGAATTCGAAGAAAAAAGACGCAATTTATTTAAAAGCAATTGTATAAAATGAAATTTTTCGAAATATTACAGCATTTTTAACTACTTTACACTGTTATTAAAAACTAATGATCACACTTTACTAATTATAAAAGTTGCTAATGTAACTTTAGTCACATCCCCAATGTTTCTTAAAATACAGTGTTAGAAATAACTGTTAGACATAAATTTGTAAATATTTCATTATTATATTTATTTTTTTGTTTAAAAGCTTTTTTAAAAGACACAATATTAATATAATTGTTTTATGAAGATGCAAATTATGTGAATAACTATTTTAATAATGCACATGATATTTAAATCTGAACACATATACAAAATGAAGTATAAAATCCAACTAAAACAAACTCCAAACTATTTACAAATGGTGTTTAAAGGTGGGGCATTTCAGTGTGAGCCCAAACACCCACAACAAACATTTCAATATCGCACTCATCCTGTCCTTTTACAATTCTAAAGTAGCCATCTTCTCCCCATTCATCACCCCAAGAATTAGCACAAACCTGCGAAGTAGAACAGAAATAAATTTTTTATTTGGTTGAAGATTGTTTAAAATACATATATATTTCTACAAGTCTTCCTTCACTATGTAATTTCATGTTTCTTGACAAAGTGCTTACAAATTATTATTTAAAACAAGAAATAAAACAAACTCGCACGAGAACAAATCACTTCTAAGGAAGACTCNATAATATATTGAACAATTAACAATACTGGATATTAATTGATTTCACAAAATATAAACTTGAATTTAAATTTTTAACAGTAAACAAGTTGAAAATAAGATAGCAGCAAATTATTTAGTTAATTAAACATGAAAACGATTTCAGACAGTTCAGCACAACTAATGACAACAAAACATAAAAACGACTCACCTCGAAAATTAATATAGCTAATAGCTATCAATAAATAACAATTTTGAACGTATCATCGTAATATCTTTGGGAGCTGGTCCCGAAAAGAAAATTATAACCATCTACAACACATCGAATTCGTATATAATTTTGCTCCGTGGCGAAAACCAAAGTAAAGGTAAAGGTTCGAAAATGAAACTTACTACTGCGCAGACTCCAACAAAAATTGTGCTGACATCTCTGAATTTGAATTAAACAAAAAAAAAATGATATTTAATGAATTGATGCTGCTAGCGTTTAAAGTTACAATTAAGAAATAAAATATACTATATTCAGATTGAAAATTAAATAGCAATGAATAATAAATTTTTGTAAAACTAAACATATATATTTCTACAAATCTTCCTTCACTATGTAATTTTATGTTTCTTGACAAAGTGCTTACAAATTATTATTTAAAACAAGAAATAAAACAAACTCGCACGAGAACAAATCACTTCTAAGGAAGACTCAAAATGTATTTGTTTACCAGGAAATTTAGGGATTCCCAGTGTTATCTCACTGGCTCTGATGATTTTCATTAGGTTTTCATCACTAATGATTCAACTGATTTCGAAAAAAAATTTCACTAAAAATATTAATTTGCGGATAAATAAATATTAAAAATATCTATTAATTCTAATTAGTAGCCATTTTAAATATTAATTTATTTTTTTGACAAGGATTAAAAATATTTATATTAAAGGTGCTCATATTGAAATAATCTGTATAATTGTAAAATATTTATTAATGCTGTTTTAATGATTTTAAACATATTTTATAAAATTACAAATTATGTTTAATATAATATATTTAATTTTAAGTACAATTAAATTTAAAAGAAAATAAAAATATACTACTTTTTTTAAATTTAATTACATATGGCAATAAAATTTAACAAGTTTAAAATATTTTTCAAAAAAATTTTTTTTAGAAAAAAATTTATGAAAATAATAATTTTATTTGGAAAATATAATTTTAAGAGTGGTTATATTTCTGTGTTCTATGGGAGAAATTTGAACAATTTAGCTACTCAAAAGGAAATCAAAATTTTGATTACTGATAAACTCCATTTGGTGAAGAAAATTATTACTTATAGCAGTCAGAAAACAATTAAAACTTGTATTCCCATTTAACCCCAAGACTTCAAAAGTCGTGAAAATTTTGATTAACTCCTTGTATGCAATACATTCTACTTAAATTGATATGAAAAACAATTGAAATTTGCATAGAGTTCCAGTGTAGATTAGAGCTTGTCGGAAAGTAATCAAAATTTCGATTGCAAGTTTCTGGTCTCACAGATGATTTATTATAGAACAGGGTAACATTAAAAACATGGATATCAATTTAAGAAAATTAGGACAGGAAGGTTTATGATCCAAATCTATTAATTAGATGTTATTTGTTAATTTTTGTTAGGAAAAGATAATATAAATATAATGAAAAATATAATAGTTCCTGTTTTTTTAAGGTTGTATATTTATAAAAATTAAATTATTTTAAAAAATTATTTTTTTTAAACTTTTGAACTAGATTTAGAACTATTTTTAGACAAATAAACAATTAAAAAAAGAGAGAAAAAAAATTAATTAAACTATAGGGAGGTGTTTTTTTTTTTTTTTTTTTTTTTTTTTTTTTTTTTTTTTTTNTAATTTTATCATTATAATTTTAAGCGATGTTGAAAAAAATATACGTTTTACTTTTAAAAATTTATTTAAAAATGAAAAATTTTTTGATTAGGTTGTAACTAAATACCTCATTTCAGAAGAATGCGAATTTAAAAACTTCTTCATTTTTAATTCATCTAAGGTTTCATTTATATTAATGTTTGCGTATTTTCAAGGCTGTATAGAATTATAAATTGTTGCTCAACTTTATTCAACTGGAATTTCAAACATTATAGAATTAATTTATGGAGTCAAATATTATTTTATAATAAATATTATTCGAATATATATTTGAGACTTTGATTTCTAGAATGTTTTTAATATATTAATGAATCAAAAGGGTCACTTGTGGTTCTGTTGTAAGCATTATTTAGATAGCTACCCCTGTTTTTTTACTTTTTGTTACTTAAAACGGTATCTAAACCATTTTATATTAATATTTTTGCAATCATAGTCTACAGGAGAGTGGTATTTAAATGGATTAAGTAATTAGTTATTATCATGCTTAAAAGTTAACTGCAACATCAAAGAAAATACACAAGGCAATCTTACCCAATATTTTATTCGTTTTCCATCAACTGTCTCTTCACCCCATCTATAAAGAAATTAAATTCTCTCAATCATTGTATTGCAAACCCAATGAACTCAATTTATTTTTCTGAATACAAGCTCTTACATTGAGATAAAAACCTCTTATGGTTATGCTGGTCATCAGTAATGACAATAATCCCAAAATGATGATAAAGCCTTCTTTATTGATCAAGAATTTTAAGGAAATTTGTTACGCTGTGGTGATTGAGAATGTTGGGAAAAAAATAATAATTTCACTAACAAGTCATCTTTAAAGAATTATATATTGTCTAACATTTTACTTTTTCAGTTGCCATGTCTGCTTTAAATGTAAGCGTTTTAAATATTCATTCTTGTAAAATATTTAGAAACTTTTAAGTTATTTTATTCTAATATTTAGCTAAAATATTTAGAAACTTTTAAGTTATTTTATTCTAAATCTTATCCTCACGCCACTTAAAATGTTTTTAAGTGGTATTATGTCAGATTTAAGAAGTTATTTCTTTAATAAAAATATATATGCTACTGAAATAATTATCTTTGCGCTTGAGAAGAAAAATAAATTATAAAAAGAACAAATATTGAAAGTACGTGCTGTTGCTAATTTAATTAGATATTATGAAACCAATATTCATTTAAAATTTCAAAATACCGGAAACTGGTCGAATGCATTGCGATTTTCTAATACAAGTACTTAAACAACACATACATTCAATAGTTTCAATGAAGACTTACCCTATTATTCTAACGGAATGCCAATCTTGTTGCCTAAAGCTTTGCGGCAAATTCGCTACTAATGACTCGACATGATGATAAACTCCGCTTTTGTATAAAAAGAAATCACTGTTGACTCTGTATGTTGCTGAAAAAATAATAAAAAGCAAAATTAAAATAAGTTGGTCATTGAGGGTTTTATTTTATTTTATAACTGCCAACCCATTTCTGAGTTTACAACGCTCAACCCTGTACTCTTGTGATTTTGAACTCAACCCAGAACACTCCTGGATCAAGCATATTGACAAACTCTCTTTCATAGGACATATGCATTATGTGGAGAGAGAAAAACCTCCAAGGGATTCTAACCTGTGATACGTCTATCACTGAGGATAGTTTCACGTCAGCGCTGCTGTCGGTATGAGCCGGGAGCAAAATTCGTATCAACAAGCCACTGCTGGGATTCGAACCTAACTAATCACACAGGGAGGCGAGCTCTCTATCCTCTAAACCACCGCGGCTCAAAAGGCATGATTAAAAAATTTTAAAAAAAGAACAATTTAATGTATCTTTATTGCTACAACTACAGTTTCTGCAGCTGTTCATTAAGAAAGAAATGAATAAAACCCAATTGATTGAGATCATTGTTTTCTTCTTCATCACTACAGCGCACGTTGCTAGATCCTGTTTTTAGTTGAACAAATATCTTGTCTGTTCACAATTGCCTTTAAGCAAAATATGACTCTTTGCAATGAGTGATAGCCACGTTAAAAGGACATTGTTTCCGAGAGGTCCCTTTGAAGGACGCTTTTTAGTTTGACTCTAGAATGGGATCAACTTGGATGAATACATCAATAGCCCAGAAGAAAGGCAATCGGGGGAAATTAATTTTAAGTTGATATAATTGTGTTTTTGCTTAGTTCAAAATATTTTAACCACATGTTTCGATTTACTTTCATTAGGTGAAAAATAGAAATGAAAGATTTTAATAAAATAAATAATATTCCTTGCAGGTTAAAGCAAATAAATACTATAAAAATAAATAGTGTTAATTATGAACATACCTTGAACAGGCCCATTAAAATAAATTTCTCTCATTATTTCTTCTTCCTGAAAATATTTGAAAAATGATTAAAATATTTTGAATTTATAATTATATTTTATAGAAATGTATTCAATATAAATTCTAAATTAAACTGAAGGAACTGAAAAAAAAAATCCGATCTGATTTACGAAATTCAGATTTCAAATGCAAAAACACTAGCTCTTTCCTTAAACATTTATTTCTTTGAGTTCCTTCGTCATTTTTATCCGTCTGAATGTGAAATTCCTCTCCGCACATCCGTTGTTTTCACAGACTGAATTAAGAATTCTATAATTATTTTTTTTTTCATATTTTAAGAACTTTATTTTAAAAAGAATACCAACATCATTCGTGTAAAAAGCTTAACCAAAACACATAAGTATATAATATGCGAGCTATTCGAGATCAAATTGCAAAGTAATCCAAAAGGAATGCGAAATGTAGATTATTTTAATACTTGAATGACGTATTGTGAACACATTAAAAAAAGTCACCTTGTTTTATATTCAGTTTGGAAACATATTTTAAAAATATCAGGTACCTCGTTTTTATGAAATAGCTTTCGTGTCTTGAGAGGGTAGAACTTTGCATTCAACCGACTCAACAAAAGCACTCTTCCAAAGCTCTGTCCCATACGAAAATAATTTAACGTTATTCAACAGCTAAATATCGTCAATCCATTATTTCGACCCACTAAAGTGCTGAAAATTTACCTGGCTGCAAGCTGTACTTATTTACGATTTTATAGCCACGGGAAATGTATCTTCGGTCTAAATCCCAAGCAATTACCGACTCATTACAGTTTTCAAAACTCTGCCGAAGCATTTTTATATGACTGCCTAGTTTGCTTAAATTTGATTTAAAATTTTTTGCTAGATGACATCACATTGTTTTCTAACTATTTCAAGTAAAACCTGCGGCCAATGGGAATTGACTATGAATCTTTAATGAAGCTTTGTGCTAGATTTTATAATACAGTTAAGTTTCAATCAAAGAAGTTCTAAATGGAGCAAGCAAATCTTTTTTGCTCTTCTGTAGACATTTCAATGTCATATGCAAATGAACAAACATCGAAAATGAAATGAAAACTAAAACCACATTTATCAAGTTAACTAAAAAATGAGAAAATATTTTGCATTTTTGTTAGATCTGAAACAATAAACGAAGGATGCATCACTACTATCGTTATGAACTTTTATCACCATCCCAAATTCCTCAAAAGTGATTTGCTCTGCAGTTTCTTTTTCTCTAGATCTAACAAAAATAAAACTGTTTTCTAGTTTTTCGTCTACTTGAGTTTTTAAAAATTTTATTTTATTATTTTTCAATAAGGTAATTTTGAATGTCCGCAACATAATTATTTCATTATGTAGCATTTATTAAAGTTTTTTTTTTCTCAACCAAAAATGAAACATAGAAAAAGCATGTATTTAGATTTAAAATTATATCGTTTTTATTCATTTAAATCAAACTTTCATCTAAGACAAGGTGCCACAGGCAACTAAAAGTGTATAAAACGCTAAAAACTCAATTCATTTTTATTTATTTATACTTTTTAAAATTATTGAATCGTTACTACCACTATGACTTACGTTTCAAATTATTCGTATTTAAAAGAAAAACATGAAAAAGTTGCTCATAATAGTTTCTTTTAACGCTTAGAAATTTATGTGTCAATACTTTTTTTGGATTTTTTTCTTTCAAAACTCAGCTAATCGCATGTAGAAAGAAATAAGAAATGTACCCAAGTATTAAACTTATTTTTTTAACTCCCTTAAATAGTCAGATATTGAATTTATTTAAGTTCAAAATTTAGCATATTCGTGATTACTAAAATTTAATCCAACAATTTTTAAATAACTTTATATAAAAACATACTTACTGTTATTTTGGAATTCAAATGTAAGTTACATGTAAACACAGATAACTTTATTTGGAGGGGGGGTAAAGGCATTTTAAGGAGATGGTTAAATGCTTACTTTAGGACCGACTCTATAGGGTGGTGTGTTATAGTAAAGTTCATCTTGTGCTCCGGATGGACACCTGACTTTTCCTTTAACGCCGTTATTAAATGGACACCTTGTATCTTCTCTGCCAGTGTAAGGGAAGCAGTTCCCGGTTGTTATTCTGAAATTTAAAAACAATCCAAGTTATAATTTTTTCATTACTGGAAATACTATTAGTGTCATCTTGAATATGCCCCTAAAATAAAAGGGATAGTATTTAATTATTGATATAAGCTTGTATTACAGCAACCACTTCCCCTAATAAATAATCTTTGATTTCTACCTTTTTGTTTTCATGAGATTCATGACTACCACCATTTATTGATAGTTATCAATACATATATTGAATGCCTATATAGAAACATGGTGGAAGCATAGCTAGAAGTAAGTGTTTAAATACATAGTGTTTAAAAACATAGTGTAATTGTTGTCGATACTTTTATTGGTCAGGAAATTAGATGGAATGATTCAGTTTTTCTTACATGTGGAAACGCATTTTTTTGACTGTTATAAAATGAATGAGTTACGAAGGTATTATTTATCTGTAAAATGTATCTTCATCCTGTAATATTTGTTTATCATCGTTTCTCTGCTACTATTACACTCTTGATTTTGATTTTTTTTCTTTCCTGTTGCATGAGAATTTCAAATCTGCAATCAATATGTTTCTCTCCAAGCTACAGTTTCTTTAAATGACATTTCTTTCTTTTTTTGTCGAAATGTTTAAAAACGTTATATAACAACAGGAGGTCGAGTATATGTGGCGACAAACTTCTTGGGCACATCATCAAGATTAAAATGGCATACTAGGAATCCATGCCCAGAAATGTCGTCTTATGTCTCCCTATTATGAACTATTTCTTTGTGTGTTTCTGAACAGATCATAATAGTGAAAGGCCTCTAGCGGCATATGACAAATTTTTTTACATTCAAAATTCAAAAATTTTTATACAATTTTAATTCTGATGATGTGTCCAAAACTTCCCCAGAAATGTGTCGCCACATTTACGTGAGCCCCTGTTGTATATAACGTTATTTAAACTTGTACATTCCGACAAAATAAATGCCATTTGAGAAAAAATTATAGCTTTAGGAACAATACTGATTTCAGATTTGAAGTTCCCACATCCGAATTAAGAAAGATAAAGCATTTATTTAAAGGCAACTCAGAATTTGTTCCCCAGTGAAAGGCTATTTTGCAGAGTTGGCCGTCGATTACAGTAATTGATTACAGCTATGTAATCAATTACTCCTAATCGCGATTACAAGTAATCAAAATTTTTGACTACATCAGAGTAGAGCGAAAATGTAATCAATTACATTTTTCAATTACAGTAATCAATTACTTGTAATCGTGATTACAACTTTCAAAAATTTTTTATTACAGCTGTAATCATAATTACAATTTTGATTACAGTAATCAATTACTTGTAATCATGATTCCAAGTAATTGCGATTACAAGTAATCACAACAAAAACGATTACAAGTAATTATGATTACAAGTAATCAAAATATATGATTACATGTAATTTGATTACATGTAATTTGATTACATGTAAT